CACATCCATGATGCCAATCTCCCGTTCCACCACATCCCAAAGCTGCTCTATTGGATTGAGCTCTGGTGACTGTGGAGGCCATTTGAGTACAGTGAACTCATCGTCATGTTCAGCAGTCTGAGATGATTGAGCTGTATGACATGCTGCGTTATCCTGCTGGAAGTAGAAGATGGAGACACTGTGCTCATGAAGGGATGGACATGGTCAGCAGCAATACTCAGGTAGGCTGTGGCGTTGATGCTCAATTGGTACTAATGGACCCAAAGAAAATCTCCCCCACACCATTACACCACCACCACCAGCCTGAACCGCTGATACAAGGCAGGATGATCCATGCTTTCATGCTGTTGAGGCGAGCATCCGAATGTGTCAGCAGAAATGGAGACTCATCAGAGCAGCAACGTTTCTCCAATCTTCTATTGTCCAGTTTTGGTGAGTCTGTGTGAATTGTAGCCTCAGTTTCCTGTTCTTAGCTGACAGGAGCGGCACCCGGTGTGCTCTTCTGCTGCTGTAGCCCATCCGCCTCAAGGTTGGCCGTGTTGTGTGTTCAGAGATGCTCTTATATCAATCTGGTATAGGTGTTGATGTCAAAGTAGTTGTATATTGGTGAGTGTTGGACTGTTTAATTAAACTTGCGTGAAAAAAAATGCATGTATAATGTATAACTTGTTTTGTAAAGTTGCTATAAAAAAGTATCGTTTTGGTATTAAAGTCAAGGTATCGATATTGAAAATGAATAAGAGTTGGACTTTATACATCTCTTTTTCATAGTTTTTTTAATGCAATGAGGTTAAAAACTAACATTATAAAACCGGCATCAAAAGTTTAGTTTAGCTACCGATATCAAAGGATCATGTAATCTTTTTTCCCGCTCTAATTGGACCCTGACTATCTGAATGTAGCAGCAATCGAGACTCATTTACAGCTGTGAAAGTAACTGTGTTCAGATTGACGGCGCTGGAATATAATCTGATGACCATAACATGAGCTGACGCCGCTTCATGCTGTTTGCTGTGGGATTCTCTACAGTCAGTCCACATTGGCTCTAATCTGACAGATGTGTAGTGTACTTGTGTGTGATTTTAAGTTTATCTCATCAGCCAGGACCTTCAGCCCATCTAAAAGATTTTCTCCTCGGAGCAGAAGCAGGTTTTATTCCACACGCGCTCGCTTTAAGTTTGTGTCTGATACGTCACATTCATCATAGTTGACTGTTTCCCTTCATGCGGATGGAGGCGAGGCAGATGTTCCTTTGCACTTATCTGCATGTGTAATTAGCCAATTTGCATATGTAGAGCATGAGGCGGAATCACGAGCGCCTTTTTTTTTTTGCTTTAGTGATAAATATTGACTCAAGGGGAAGAAAAAAAGAAGCTTGCTTAAGTCGTGATTATCAGACGTTACACACTCGGACTGCTGAGGATTTCCTTTTTCCAGATGTTTGCTGAAGTGCGTGTCAGAACGTTCACGCGCAGTTGTGTGTCTATTAACCCAGATCTGCTCCTACAATCTCCTGGAGTCGTTAGGAATGAAAATGACGCTCTCGTTTGGTATAGATCTGTGGCGAAGGCTCATTATATATTATCTGAACATATGACGATGCCGGCTCCATTAGCCAGGTGGCATTCATTAGGTTAATTGCTGCCGCTTCTTCTTATTAATAGTTTGTGAATGTGAAACGCTCGTGTCCGTGATGGAACGCTCTTCAGGCTGAACAGAAGAGTTGCATGATTTGCTCCTGTGTTTTTATTTAGTCGAATGAAGGTGTGTTGTGAATGGAGGGAGCTCTGCTGCCGTTTTCAGTCTTGTGCATATTAATGCGTCTGTCAGTAGGGGTAATTATGGCCATCGCGGCTGATTCCCAAAGCGCTCTTGTGTTTCCAGACCTTCTGTTTTGTCGTGTTGGGAATGAGGAGCTGGAGGCCATCAGCATTACGCTCTTTATGACCTTCTAATGATGCTCTTTATTCCAGCGCTTGCCTTGATTTTCCCACTTTGCCACTTTCTTTTTGTTGTTTTCAGAGCTGTGCCAATTGGTGACTTCAGTTATATTTTACATAACGATAAAGGACACACTCCTTCCTGTCTTATGCACTCAATGTTTCTGTCTGTACAGATAAGCTCTTTATTAGTTTAACACGTTGTGTTCCATATTTTTAATTTTCTATTGCATTTATATTTTTTAAATGTAGATTCTTATTGTTGTTTTGGTTATTGTTGGTATTATTTAAGGCCATGAGTGGTTATGTAGGCATTTCACTGCATATCGTACTGTGTATGACTCAAACAAACAAGGTTTAAGGCTAGTCAAGATTAAATTGCATGTTTGAGCTGTCTCAACTCAAAATAACTTGTCAGTGTCATATTTTTGTGTCCAGGTGCACACCAGTTATATTTTTCCAAGGCCATTTTTATAAATGTGTCTTAAATAGCGTAATTTAACTAAGGCCTAGTGCTGGCTTAATCTAAGCCCTGTTTGTGAATCTGGGCATTAATGTGACAAACATTTTTATTTATTTATTTTTATTTTTTTTAAAGATTTATTTTTGCCCTTTTTGCCTTTATTAGATAGGACAGTATTGAGACAGGAAGCCAAGTGGGGGTAGGGTAGGGAAATGTCGTTGAGCCAGGATTCGAACTCGCGACGCCCTGACGTGCTATTGCACTATTTGTTGGCGGCCTAACCACTAGGCTATTGCGCCGACACTGTGACAAACATTTAGGGTCTCATCAATCACTGTTTGGTGTGATTTGTTGCTGTTTTCAGATCAGTGCAGCAGTAATTTTCACTATTTTCTGTATAAATAGTAAATCCATTTGCGCCACTGTGGCCTCGTGTGTGCTGGTCTGAACAGGAGGTGTGTTCAGGCGCATTGTTGGAGCGCTCTATCCTGAGGAACTGAAATAGACCGCACCACTGACCAACTAAAAGCTGCTCTAAACTCCAGCAGAGTGTGTTAGTTATGCGCCTATGCAGGTCCAAACACTCACACACTGCTGAACACATACAGGATGATCAGCAACACACACATATCTGTACAGATGAAACAATTAAAGGATTAAAATGATCCAGACATGATGATTTTCTCCATCAGTATAAACAGCACTGCCTCCATGCCTTCATCATCTCGGGGGGCTTCTTCAGTTTATTGATGAGCATCTGCATCAGTATAATGTGATTATTATGATCAATATTATTGATTATCTGCAGATTTATAATAAACACGAGTGTAGATGTGTCCAGCTGTGGGGTTTTGGAGGCGTCTGCATCAGCATATGTGGATAAGAACAGGACGTGTGTTTGGATATAACTCAGTTTTCTGACCACACTTCATTATTATTGTTCATTTATTCCTCTGCTGGAGATTAGAGCTGAATTTAGAAATAGTTTTGAAGCAAATCTTTGTGTTTAACAAAGGAGATGAAACATGTGGGCTGATGGATGTGTTCAGTGGAGTGAGTTTCCACCGTTTCCTCACTCCACCAAAGTAAAGGAGTAAAGTAAAGAGAAAGTAAAGAGGCTGAATGGAGGAGGCTCGTTCTTTATCCTCGTGCTGCGGATGCTCTGTTTAACTGTTGTTTTTTCTAGTGAAGCGTTCAGCTTTTACTCTTACAGAGTCACTCAATGGAAACACTAGCTGTGTCTCATTTTCTGAGTCTGCATCCTCTGAAGGATGCATTCGAAGTATGTTGTGTCATCGCGATACGATGAAGGCCGTCTCATTTAAAAAATAAAAAATTAAAGGCTCCTTCAAACGCAGCCTCCAAATGCATCCTTTCTTTCCCAGGTATTGAAGAACACAAGTGGTGGATCCTTCGCGGCCTCGAACGTCCCAAGATTCATGGCACTCTAATAACAGCAGGACGCTTTTAAAAGAAAACTCCTGTTTAAATGTATGAATTAGGTTTATTTTACGAGGATATCTAAACACATGTTAAAAAAAAAGAAACAAAAAGAGCATGACATGTCTTACTAAAGAGTGTTTTTATACAGTTTATGTGTCCATGTATGGGTCAAAGGAAATATATTTCTAGCTCGTCTATTCACCTTTCTCTAAAGGCCCGTGCACACGAGACCTTTTTTGCTCGCGTTTTCCGTCGACGTTTAACGCCTTGTGACTATATGAAGGGCATCAATGTGATCGTGCACACCAACGCGCAAAACGGCAGGCGCAAAAGCGTCTTTAAAAAAAAAACGGCTCATGCTGCTTTTTTTGCTTTGACGCATGACGTCAAAACCTTCTTCACCAATCAGATCGGCACTTTTGTTCACGTGCACGGAGCTGCTGAAGTTACCGTAAACAACACTTGGAGGCGCTCAAGCGCAAAACTGTCAATGCAAGCGCACACTGAAGAAGACGCCCAGAGGCGATATGAACGTGGAGCCGCGTATTGCTCTGTGAACAATCATCATTTCTTCATCACTAGAGCAGGAGCTGCTGATGAACCATACATGCTTGTTCGAGTCACAAGTAACTTAAACAACAAGCATGTGAACTTCCTCTCTTCCTCTTCTTTTGTGTTATAAGCGGGTGTCAGAAGCGTATAGTTGTGCAGCGCCATCTAACGCCAAAAAAGAGATTTAGCATACTATCGTCTGCCTTACGCCAGTGAAGAGCAATTGGGTTTGAACACTGAAAAACGTCTCGTAAAACGCTGACGATAAACGCAAACTAAAAACGTCCCGGTGTGTAGGATCCTTTAGCCGACGAGCGTTCATTCATTTTTAGACGTTAAAAACGGCTCGTTTCGCTGTTTGATGTTGCAAACTGATATTTTCTTCTTATATTGTTCTACTTTTGGTCTGTATAGTTATGCAAACATTTGATTGTAGAGCGAGTAGTTTGACCGTTTTCTGCCGTTTATTATTCCTAGTCGTTTCTTCCATAGGCGACAGAATCGGAAGTTCTAAAACAACACGAAAACAGGCGCACTTCCGCATTTTAGAATGAGGTCAATAGCTTGTTTTGGCTTCAGATCGCTTAAAATAAGTTCTAAAATCTCTTTGGACAAAACAACAGCAGCTGTTACGGTTGCCTGGTGACGAGATCCGTCTTCTGTAGGCGAGATCGTCTCATTTCAAAATGCTCGGTTCGGCCTGTGTGGACTTCGAAGAACTCACTTTTGAAGTCTACATCCTTTGGAGGATGCAGCCTCTGAAATGAGACACAGCTCCTGCCTCTGAATCCGTGATACACTTTACAATAAGGTTCATTAGTTAATGCATTTACTAACATAAACTAATCATGAACAACACATGTACAGCATTAATTGAACATTTACTAATGCATTATGAACATTCAAGTCCATGCTTGTTAATATTAGTTAATGCACCACGAGTTAACATGAACTAACACTGAACTACTGTATTTTCATTAACTAACGTTTACTAACATGAGTAAATACTGTAGTAAATGTATTGTTCATTGTTTGTTCATGTTAGTAAAGGCATTAATTAACATTAACTAATGAACCTTATTGTAAAGTGTGACCCATATTTTTATCCAAGATTATCGTACCATCAGAATCTTATACCGGCCCATGCCTAAAGTATGCTTGGTGTGATCACAGCCCAAGCCTGTTGCACTCTGGGAAACGGTGTTCCAGTGGTGTGCTTATCTGTCTGCTGAAGAAGTCCTGATGATGATTTGTATGCGGTGTGTCTCGCTCAGGTCCGTGTGTTTACTCATGTGAGAGCGTTTCAGAGTTTAAACTGTGAGCACAAGCCCATAACTCAAAGTTCAGCCCATTGTTTGACACAGATGTGTTTTCACAGATATTAAGGGCAGTTTGGCTCCCTTTAAACTCAGCAGGCTGAAGATTCGGCAATTAGCCGCTAATCGCACTCATTATGTGCTGCTGTGATCCATCTGAAGACTCACAGATGTGTGAAAGTGCTCCAGGTTCCAGAGCTCGAGGACTGCAGGCTCCATCATCTAAAGTGGGCTTTGATTTCGCTCTACTTTATACCATGAGTCGTAGAGGTTTTCATACTTTGCGCAGTTGTCGTTGTAGTATTAAGCTGGATTGGTTGTTGGTGTTGTCAATCTGGCAACCTGCGCTTGTGTGTGTTTTGATCCAGGAGTGCAATACCTAGTTCAACCACCAGGGGTCAAACTTGCATACTGCACCTTTAACACAGACGCTTTGCTTCTTTTGTTGCGGTGAGGTGTGTGCGCTTGTGTGTGTGTGTGTGTGTGTGTGTTTCTGCATCAGCGGCTGGTGTTGTCGCAGTGATGTAGTGAATGCACGAGGTCTAAAGGTGTGTTTCTGCATCAGCCAATCCGGCGTCAGCAGCAGTGATATTCCTGCAGCGTCCCCGTAACCCGCTCATCTGGAAGCGCTCGTGTTTCCGTGTTCTGCAGATTACAGGCGCGCTCTGAAGACTCTGCTGGCTCTTTGTCTGCTCTCTGGTAATTAACTTTGTCCTGCTTTTATTTGTTCCAGTCTCCCCGCGTCCACTCTGCTGAGCATCTTCTCCCAGGAGTACCAGGTTCGAAGTTTTCCTGCTTTGTGCGGCCTGACAGCTGCCTAATTGAATGATGAATGTCCCCTTATTCCTGTGTAATTGAACTGCCAACTCTCTGATTGGTTTGGAGGATTCCGTCTGACACACACATACACACACACACTTTTACACACAAAAGCACACACATACACACACAAGCACACACACACACTTATACACACACATATACACACACAGATTCACACACACATAGTCTTATACACACAGACAGACATGCACACATTTATACAGACACACGTGCACGCTTATAAATAGGCGCGCACAGACACACACATATACACAGACAGACAGACACACACACACACACACAC